TTTTAGTATCTAGTGGGATTTCCTTTAGATTGTATAATCGCTTTAAGCCTTTGCGGCATTGAATTTACTAAATTTTTGGTTATAGTACTAGAAATTTTGTTTCATTCCTCTAAAAGTGCATTTTTTAAATCTTGTTCCGAAGAAATGTGATGGTCTCGAATTTTTTTCTTCAAGATGACTCCATAAGTGCTTTATCACATTTACGTCTGGAGACTGTGGAGGGATTTTTAATTGCTGTGGCACATTATATAGGATCCATTGACGTGTATTATAAGCATTTTGCTTTGGATCATTATCTTGCAAAAATATATAATTGCCCTGTAACTGCATTTTATTTGCACTATCCTGAAAATGCTCTTTTAGAATATCGATGTACATTTTGTGATCCATGATACTATCGATAAAATGGAGAGATCCAACCCCGCTCGCACTCATAGAGCCCCAAACTGTGACTGATCCTCCTCCATGCTTTACGGTCGGCTTCAAATTTCTTTTTTCGTACTTGGTATTTTTTTTCCGCCATACTGTACATCGTCCATCTGACCCAAATATGTTAAATTTACTCTCATCAGTAAATATAATACGGTTCCAGTGCTCCATAGGAACATTAACGTACTCTTTCGCGAATTGCAATCGTTTCTTTCTATTAATTTCATTTACGAAATATTTCTTACGAGCTACTCTGCCGTGATATCCTCTATCCCGTAAAAAATTACGCACTGTGCTACTGCATACATTAATGTCCAGATCATTTTTAAGTTCAGCTGTGATTTTCACCGCACTTATCTTCGGATTTTGCTTTATTTTTCGAATTATCCATCGGCCGGTATACTCATTTATTATTCGTTTACGTCCGTTTCTTGGATTATTTTTTACAGTTTTTCGATCGCCATATCTGTCAATGATTCCTTGAATCGTGGAACTCGGTCTATTTAAAACTTTAGAAATTTCACTCAGTGTTTTACACTTATTATGTAAATTTATAACAATTTTCCTTTCTTCTTCAGAGGTTTCCTTGCGTTTTCGTCCCATTTTACTGATAATTTCGTTGATAATGTTTGAATTCAGGATACTACCTATACCGACAGCGTCTCCAGACATACTGATGCTAAGTATGTTTACATATCATGGATTATCTTGTAATCGTTCTATGTGGAATGTTACGAATCAAAGACTGTACGAATACTTATTACGCGTATATTTTAGGTCAATTTTTGGAAATTTATTAATATTTTCATAATAAATATAAATAAATAATTTGTTGTTAATGACATTTGTTCCAGAGATTTCCAAGAATATGTATGCATGCTTTTGTTAACATACTTTTGTAATAAACAAAGTTCTGCAAAGGTTTTGTTCAAATTGACTAGTGTACGAATACTTTTTACACTCACTGTATTTTAAAATCATCGGCATATAATACAAATTTAGAGTGTTGAAATACCTTAGAAATATCATTCATATATATTATAAATAGGAACCCAAATGTGAACCTTGTGGAACACCAGATGTAACATTAATTTCTCGCGAGTAATTATTATTGAATTTAGCTATTTGAACTCTATTTGATGAAAAACTAGATAGCCAAGAAAGCATACAGCTGTTTATTCCTAATGCCTTTAATTTGAGCATTAAGATTGAATAATAGAATCAAAGAATGTGTAAACAGTATCAACCTGCATGTGTTTATCCATACAGTTGGTCAAATAATGATGATACTTCACAAGGTTAGTCACAGTCGATCTATTGATAACGAAACCATGCTACTCATCAGTGATGATGCCTTTGCAAAGAAATGATAGTTTACAACTAATTAAATTTTCCGTAATCTTAGGCATGATATTTTGAGTACTAATAGGCCTAAAGTTTGAAATTCATATTGAGTTAGTAAATTTAGGAATCGGTTTAATTTAAATAAAGATTTATGAAATATTGCCGGACAAAATGATAGGACGTTTGATATTTTTTAATGTTTCGTGTACTATAATTGAATACGTGTATATTTTAGCCACTGTGCATATTAGTAATGTCCTTAGAGATGAGTATAATTAATATCAAGTCTGTATCTCATGCACAAAGAAACTTAAGGAAAATAATGTAAAAATGTATTGATTCTGGTCAAACAAAATGATAGGACGTTACAACAAAAATACAACTAATTAAAGAAATATTTCATTCAACGGTATATTATGCAATTATACAATCTTATATTAGAAATGGACATCGATCTGCGCATGGACAGTCATCCATATCTTTATTTATAATAAAATCTATTGGTCAAATCGAAATGATTTCTTTATAATTCTTCTTCTACTTCTGACATTATTTTTCAGTAAATAAACAAAATCGCAATAAAATTTAAAAATTGTGCATTGTACGATTAATACTACTGAAAAAGGAAAAACATGTTTATTTACGAATGTAGATCAGAATTAATAAAAAGAGTATTCCTTGATTATTAGTGTCAGTATATAAGGTTTCACCAATTTTCTAATTTTATCTGACAGTAAACGACGTTTTCGTCTATTTATATTGCTACATGCAAAGAAACGTATTCCAACGCCATTTTGAAAAAAATGGGGAGCACGAGAAGGAATAAATTCGATGAATACAAGCTTTTTCTAATTCTTCTTGAATCACCCTTCCAGTTATTAAGCTATTTAAATGTTCGCAAAAATAATAGTTTTAATCTGTGGAAGAAATATCAAGAGAATAAGGAGCATAAGGGAAAAATTCGTATTTCTGTTTATTTTGTGATTATAAAACAATAATAACACATTACATCTGTCGATTAATGTCGGAATCCATTATCAATTTTTTCTGCAATTTCTTGACAGTTGGACGCGAGTCTTTTTCACTCATATTCTTTAAAATGACGTTTTGAATAATTGTTCGAGTTTCAACTTGTATTATTAAAATTCTCTCCTTTATCAGTTAAGTAAGCACTTGATTCGGATTGCAAGTAATAATTACATGTTCCAGCAGGATAATGCTGCAATATACACTGCAAAGACAGTGAAAACATTTTTCAGTTCTAAAAATATGACAGTTTTGAAGTGGCCAGCCCGCTCTCCCGATCTTAATATAATTGAAAATATCTGAGCAGACCTGTCAAGATGTGTATGTCAAAAATGTCAAAGAATTGAGAGACAGTATTATTAAAGATTGGAGACACTTAAAACAAAAACAAAAACGTATTAATACGAATACTAATTCGGAACAAAAATCATAGCTTCTAAACTAGTCAATTTTCGAACTAAGACCTCTTACACTTTTTTAAAAAAGTACAAAGATGCATCAACTGATGCACAAAAATTATACATTTTTGTAAAAAAAATTGAAACAACCTTGATTTTTTGTTGAATAAAAATTGGTTTGCTAATTTCTACTATTGACATTTCTTGTCAAGTGATTGCTGCGTAACTTTTGTTCGAAAAGTTTTTTAATTGTTTTAGAGGAAGTGCCTCAAATATCATAGCGATCATTTCGAGTATATGGATGTTCGGGAAAAAAATCATAACTTTGCGTCTGTGTAATGTTTTTCCTTTATTTCTTTTTAATTAAAATATAAAATAGATACAGAAACAATATATCTTGTAAATAAACAAAAGAACATTTTTTATTAGATTAATTCCGATTCTGATTCGGAGCAGGTATCAGTACTTGCAATAATGACTTTGATCATTTTCTCTGTTTCGAACAAATTCGGGCAGCTAAAATTGGCGTTCAATTAAAATTTAATGTGCCCTAAATTAATATACAAAAAATCATCGAGGTATTTTTGGTATTTTTTTTTAAACTCAATTCAAAGTTGATAAACATTTAACATAAAAAATTGGGACCAATTGTTAATACTGTAAAAAGATTGTTTAGCAGTTTGGAACAAATTGTCAAAATACACTGAAAATTGCAATACACTTTAGCATAATTTTCAACAAAAAATTGGTAAATTCAGTAAAAGTTTTGGATAGTGTTAAAATCTACGTTCCTTTGTTAACATTTTGGAATACAAGAATTTATAAAACATAGACTTTAGTTTCTTGACTTTTGTTCATTGCTGGACACACTGTGCGTCACCCTGAAAATTACGTCTAAATCCTAGATTCTCGTGGATGGTTGGAATTTAAATCAACAGGTAACCCCTTACTCGGGCGTCCGTTATCTAAATCAACAGGTACACCTTCCTTTGAGGAAGCGTTCAGCTCCTGTGTACGCGAAAGACAGATAAGGCCCCGACAGGAAGGAAAGAAGGGAGGAAAGAAAAAGCCACCGCGGCGGCACGTTTCCACAGGGTAAAGTGGTACCGACGAAGAAGAGGAGAGGGTAGCCTACAGAAGGAGCCAGAATGGGCCACCAGGTGCACCTTCAGAATGGACATAAAACGAAGTGGGAACCATATGTTGATGTGCTGAAGGACGCACGGCACGCGCCACACTCAAACTCGAGCCTTTACACCGCGAGGATCGGTGACTTCTTCCTATTGTTACCGTTTCGGAACCAATGACACGATCTCCGTGTACAGTGCATCCGTCCCAACGAGATACACCGCGATTCGTTTCACGGTTTTCCTAGATTTCGCGAACGGGACCAACGATCGATGGCGATGTTCGATCGGGGAACCTTGTGTCATTATAAATGCCGATTCTACGATTCGTGATCGAAAGCTGTCGATGGACGGTTCGTTCTCGCACGCTGTCATTTGCTAGAACCGGACTAAGTGATAAAAAAGTTGATCAGTGCAACGATTCCACGATCACGATGTGAATTATGTAGTACCTTGTACGAAACAATCCCGACGAAGACAATAAAAAGCGTCCCACAACCGCGGCGAGATTATTTTCTTGATTCTTGTACGATTACCGTGTCGCTAAAAATTGTTATCCTCGTTTCGTAAAAAATCAGCGAAAAAGAAATTTACGATAATTGATCTTGGTAATTAAAAACGTTTAAAAGTTGGAACCGTCGCGAATTATCCGATATTGTATGTTCGACGAAAAACCATGGCTCTTCTGACGAATCACCACGATTACTCGGTTCCCTCTGAAATGATTACTACCGTTTATCCGAGTACAGCGAGGACGTACGATTCTTTGTACCCTTCTCCGTACAACTCGCCGAATTACGATTCTATGAAAGTTCCGTTCGGCGAGAATTACGCGCACAAAGGTGAGCATACGCCGCGAAAAGAAATCGAGACTGTGAATTACGGGAACGATGTGATTACCAAATATTCGAGAACACCGGACTCGTACGAAAGAAGCTCTTTTGATATCCTGACGCCAGCAACGCCGCAAAGGTAAGTCGGCATTTTCGATTCGCACGCATGATTTTTGCAAGCTTCCACCCTGTACGTTCGATCGAACCACCGCGACAACTTGCTTTGTTTGTTCGTTCTTTGCGCGACATACACCTTTTTTTGTACACCGAGTCACGATTAAGAGCAAAGTTTTTACTGTTCTTTGATAGTGAATTTCGGCTGATTTTAACAGATACGAACCACAGCACGTGATAAGTCATACCGCCTCCCCTAGACCGATGCTGCATGAGGATAATTCCGTAGAGTATCATCCGCCATCTTATTGTTACGAGACGCCGCCTCAGGAACAAAAATTTCACACCCTCGAAAGCAGAGAACCGATGCAGATGATCGTTGAACCGAAAAGGAATTGCTGGCAACCTGTTACGTCCGCGCAGGTGAATTAAGGGATACAAAGAAAAGTGATATACGATTCGATGTTTGGCAAGAATAAGAAAATAACATATCTGAAAGTCAGATAACTGTGAAGCTTTTTTGAAAAGCTCTCGTGTTTGGATTTTTTTAATTGAAAAAACGGTCGTGACATATTTGAAACGTCGGTTCTCGTCAGATCACCGAAGTTAACGTATTACCGACAGGAAACGAGAATTCTCGTTTTACAGAAAAATACGTATACCAACGAGAATCGAGTATTCTCGATTGACGACAAGTATGTGTTTTTTAGTAATTTCTCTGATAACGCAAGAAAAAAAATTCTAATATTATCTACATATAACTTCTGAACATTTCAATAAAATATATAAATATCAAAAGTACTTATCACATTTTTAGTATACACATGTTGAAGGAATTCTATATCATTAAAATCATTCGTTGTATAGGAAAGTTTTAAGAAAAATGCTACGTCGTTAGTGAGTTAAGCAACGTTGGTTAAAAGTTGAACAAATTTTTTTTGAAGAAAAAAATAATTTCCAAAGATCGCCATTTTTGTTCATTTGTAACAAAACGTCACACCTTATAATAAGTAACTTGAAGTTTGTCTTCGGAAAAACTGTCAGAAACAGTTAAATTAAAGATTGAGGAACGTAAAGTTTTTGTCGGGGACAGTCGAGTTAAGAATTGAGGAACGTCAAGTTTTTAGAAAAACAATTCCCAAATATCGCCATTCTTATTAATTTCGAGCAATATATCTTATAATAAATAACATAAATTTTAACTTTCGAATGATTGTCAGAAATAGTTAAGTTAAGGATTGAGCAACGTAAAATTTAAAAACAAAATTCTCAAATATCGCTATATTTGTTAATTCCTAACCGAGCATTATATCTTATAATAAGGAACTTAAAGTTTGCCTTCAAAATGATTGTCAGAAACAGACGAGATAAGAGTTAAGTAACTTAAAGTTTGACTTCCCAATGACTGTCAGAAATAATTAAAGTAAGGGTTGAGGAATATAAAGTTTTTGGAAAAACAATTCCGATATATCGCCATTTTTATTAATTTCTAATCGAGCATTACAGTTGCGGACAGAATTAAGTGAACAGGTAAAGGAAATAAGTATAAATTAAATTTAACCAAAGTAGTATAATTATTATGCACTTCAGTTTTATATATTATATGGTACATAGATTATTTATCGTATAATTGAAATTGATATTTAACTTTGTGTTAAAATAAGGTATGCTTAACGAAAATGTTGATTAATTGTCGAGAGATAAAAATAAGTGGACAGTTAAAAAAATAAAAATAAAAATATAAAATTAATATTTTGTGTGACCACCCTTTGCTGTAATAATTGCTTTTAAACATCGTGGAATGCTATTTAGCAGATTTTCAATGGAATTTTTATCGATATTTTCAAATGCTAATCGTAAATATTTAAAGCAATCGTTCTTGTTCTGCTGTTTTCCAAATCGCACGTTTCAATTCAGTACGCTCCATAAGTTTTTGATTAGATTCAAATCCGGACATTGTGCCTGTCATTTCAATAATTTAATATTGGAATCTTTCAAAATTTGTTTGTTTTTCTTTTCACTGCATGTCTCGGGTCGTTGTTCTATTGCACAATAAATTCTTCTTCGAATCATATTTTGGCAGCTGCCTCTTCAAAATTTTCGTTTATTATTTAAATATACTTGTTTGCATTTATTAGTCCGTTAATCTGTATCAAATTGCCAACTCCATTCCACGAAAAACACCCTCACAATATTAATGACCCTCCACCAAATTTAACAGTTGACGTAACAATAAAATACAGCTTTTTCTATGCTTCGTTTCTTTTTCTCCATACATGATGCTTCTTTTTTAATTGCTGCAGTTTAAATTTGTTTTCATCGCTCCATATTATTTTTCTCTAGAATGATACTGGTATATTTATATATTTTTTAGCAAAAGCTAAACGTTTCCTCGTGTCGATGTTGTCAATGTGTGGCTTACGTTTGGATTTATATTATCTTAACCTCGTTTCCTGCAACTTTCGTCGTACTATTTTCAATGACGCACTGAACATTTCATGCTGAGATTCGTAAGTATTGTCGACATTTACGAGTAATTTGACGATTTCCTCTCACGATGGTACAACGTTTACGTCTGCGGCCTCTTAAATTTCCAACGGTTCTATGTAGTAAATATTTTTTATAAACTTTGTCGACCGATCTTTTAGAAAAACTGTACTTTATTTACTACTATACAGTAATTTAATTTATTTCGCCAGTTCTTCATAATCAAATTATGAATTTGATTTGAAAATTCAATTCTTACTGACATTCTGCGGTTTTCTTAGAAACAATCTGTTTCATGCAAAGTTTACACACCAAGCAAATAGTCCATTTCAGACTACTGCGTGAAACTGAAAAGGACACTTAGAGGTTGTTTACATTTTTCACGTTGTAATAACATCTTAAATGAATATCTACTTATTTTTGTTCCTCGACAATTAACCAATGTTTTCGTTAAGTATACTTTGTTTCAACACAAATGTAAATATTAATTTCAATTATTCGCTAAATAATCTATGTACCATAAAGACATACAGGGTGTTCGGCCACCCCTGCGAAAAATTTTAATGGGAGTTTTTAGCGGTCAAAATAAGACAAAAATCAAGAATATCAATTTTTTGATTGACGCTTGGTAAAAAAGACACTAAAACATTAAATTAAAAAATTACAAATGATTCCGAAAAAATTATTTTTGATTGCGGGGGTCAATTACAATCATTTTTGGTAAACAGACATACTCCCGAAAACCTATGCACTTTCAAGAAAAAAATTCCTTACCGAAAATATAATTTCGGGCCAGAAATTTCACTCGAAAATTTCTTGCATATCTTTAAAACGTCATAACTTCTGAACGGATTGAAGGATTTCAATGTTTCAAATGGCAAACAACGCGTATTTTGGTGAAGAATATGTAGGAATTCTAACAATATTGAAACAGTTGTTCCTTGATCGCGTAAAGTTAGAAAAACCCCATAAAAATGGTCCAATTTTCAAACAACCTTAACTCTTACAATAGTAAATATATTTCAATGAAACTTTTTTCTGAAGTAGAGCTCATGGGTACCTACAAAAAAGTATTAGACAATATTTCCGTACAGAGCCAAACAAATTTATTAAAAATCAAAAACGAATTTTTAAGAAAAATTGACAAGGTGCAGAAATTTTTCGGCGAAATTAAAAAGTTTGAAATCATTCTGGAAAAATTATTTTCAGTTGCGGGGATCAATTACAATTATTTTATGGTGGATAGACACACCCCCGAAATCCCATGTACTTTCGAGAAAAAAATTCGAGTAGGTGTACAAATTTTTCGACAAAACTGAAAGGTTTCAAGTCGTTCTGGAAAAATTATTTTTAGTTGCAGGGGCCAATTTTAATCATTTCCGGTGAATGCTCATTCGCTCGAAATCCGACGCACTTTCGAGAAAAAAATTCTTTACCGAAAATGTACTGCGTCGTCAGAAATGTTTCCTCGATGCGTATATTTAAAAAATCATAACTTCTGGACGGATCAAATGATTTTAATGTTTCAAAATGCAAACAATGCGTATTAATGGAGGTCTAGAGCTATAGAAAAATGGGCTGAAAACATACATTGGATATAAGATCTGCCACCACTATCTCGCACACGCAGCTGTTCGCAGATTGCCGTTTACAGGCGTAACTTTAAACGTTAATAACTTTTTAACAAAGCCTCTATCAACAAATTGATATTCTTGATTTTCGTCTTATTTTGGTCTCTAGGATCTCCCATTAAAATTTTCCCAAGGGTGGCCGAACACCCTGTATAGTATATACAATTTAAGTGCATAATAATTATAGTACTTTAATTAAATTTAATTCATACGTATTTTCCCTACCTGTCTACTTAATTTTGTCCATAACTATATATCTTATAATAAGTATCTTAAAGTTTGCTTTCCGAACAACTATCAGACAGTTGAGTTAGGCTAGAAACAGACGAGCGGCTTTTTCCGTTACGATATCGTTGCGATTTTTTACTTTTCCTTGTTTTGCAATTAAAAGAACGAAGACAGACAAAATCGGCGTTTCTATGTCTACCTTGGTTGTTTTCAATTGCAAGACAAGGAAAAACATTGTAGAATCGCCGCAATATCGCAATACAGAAAAAGTCGCTCGTCTGTACCTAGTCTTATGGGTTTAGTAACGTAAAGTTTGCCTTACGGATGGCTTTCAGAAACAATTGTCTCCTACGAACAGCCCCCGAAGAGGAAGACGAAGATCAAGGGACATACCACCGTCACCGAGCGTCCTGAAGCGTCGGCGTCTAGCCGCAAACGCGCGTGAGAGGCGTCGAATGAACGGCCTGAACGACGCCTTCGATAAATTGCGGGAAGTTGTGCCCAGCCTTGGCGCCGATCACAAGCTCAGTAAGTTCGAAACGCTACAAATGGCGCAGACGTATATCGCGGCGTTGTGCGATCTTCTTCAAAAACACGATGGAAAATGGCAATGACGATATAGAAACTAAATAAAACAAGAATGGTAATGATAGAGAAGAATGGTAAAGAATTCATCGATCAAACCCTGCAGAGGTTGCAATCCTATTTTTTAAACGATCGTGTTTCGAAGATACAGTAATTTTGATCTGTGTTGAAATATGAAATTTTGTTAGTTGTACGAATACATGAAAAATGTTTTATTTTATTTAAATAGATACGATAGAATTATAAATATACCTTTGCGATGGAGCTACAAGTTGTCTGTGATCTCGATATAAATAAATTTAATTTTGTAAGCGGTCATTTCAATATACACTTACGATGATTCTCAAAACTCAAAAAGTTATGTTTGCTGTGTATTTTGATGCTATATAAAGTGCATACAAAGTTCTCATATAATGATAGAATAGAGAAGATATCCAGGTGGCTACCTTTAAGTGGGACACCTTGTATAAACACCTGATATAAAAGTTTATTGCATCATATAGTAACCTTTGTCATTTATAAAAAGATTTTGCATGTATCTGTGGGATCAATCGCAACCTCCGCAGGATTAAAGGTGACACGATTTTCAATTGTTTACTTATAAAAAACATTAATTAATTATGACACGCGAATTTTTATAAAACTCTGCACACAAATACAGCATTAAAAATTTTATCAGGCACGTATTTTTTTGTATAATCGAGGGGTGAAAAGTACTCTTAAAGTTACGAATGGAGTATCGATTTGGTCAAGTTTTTTTTTAACTAACGGATGTAGAACAAAAATGTTTAGTTTTCAACGAGATTTTATTGAATTACAGGCGACCTCTTTGTAATCAATCAGATTGTTTTTTCATAGATATTTAAAAGATACTTAGCTGTTTAAAAATTGGCCAATCTAAATAACAGATGATAAACAGTTATCTTTCATTCGTTGTTCGAAATGTTTATCTAGATAAAAGTTTTTGCTGTAATTAATTAGATTGATTTGAACACATGTTTCTTAGAAAATCATACATATTTTTCCAATAATTATTTTAATTCTCTACAACTTTGTATGTTTTTGACGTTACAAAGTCATACCTTACATTTGTAACATGAAATTTAACTCTGTTATCCACGTGTATGGAATTAATCGATTGAACGTATCGATCACAGTCATACACTGACAATTAAATAGTTACGTTAATTAAGCGACAGTTTTGTGTAATATCTAATTCTCTACGAGCATGTGTGTATTGGTAATAGAAATTTATTCGTATGTACATTCATAATTTGTATTATTTATAATTGTAAATTGTATATGATCATGGAAACACGGCTAACCATCCAAAGATTAACGAAATGTTCGATAATGTTAGACGTAAGGAAACGCGTCGAATTATTGTTAAATAAGCGTGAATTATTATACATTATTTATTGATATCGCGATATTGCGTGTTACTATTAATTTCTATGGTGCCCAACGAGTGATAGAAACAATGTAAAACCGTATAGTGCCATCGTCATTGTAATTTGTTCGAAACACGTTAATTTTTTAATCATCGAGAGCCTTGCGTTAAGTTTTAAAACAAAGTTGCGCAATTACTATTAGACTGTGTATATTTTAATTAAGAGCACCGCTAGGTAACTTAAACTGTTGTAGATAACTTCAATTAATTTTTATTTTTATTTATACCGTAGCTAGTCAGAAATATTGTTAAGGAAGCCCATGAAGCTTGAAACAGCATTTTTTGTGCCGTCCATCTATAGAATACGACATGATGCCAAAGAATGGTTATTTAAAACTGTTATTAAGATTCGAAGGTGTCAATTAGTCTTAAGTGACAATTATAAGCGGTTCGAAATTAAAAAATATTTAAAACTTGCGACAATGTTATGCGATTATCTTGTTAGCGAAACAATCGAAACGACAAAAACCTTGAAAGATCAATATTAATGTAACAATGTAAGATATTGTAAATAAAGTATTGTCTACATCTTCAGATAAAACATGTGATCTTATTTTCCAATTGAAACAAAGCTTAGAAAAAAGGCACGGTACGAAAATGGTTTGTTTATTTTTCAACGAAGAATGGAATATGTAATTTTGAAAAGCAGTTTCATTTAGGTATTTGTAATTTCATGTTCGTAGCACAATACAGGGAGTTCGGCCACCCCTGGGAAAAATTTTAATGGGAGATTCTAGAGGCCAAAATAAAACAAAAATCAAGAATATCAATTTCTTGACAGAGACTTCATCACAAACTTATTAAAAAATTAAATTAAAAAATATCAAATCATTCTGAAAAAATTATGTTTAGTTGCGAGGGTCACGTACAATCATTTTTGGTGAATAGACATACTCCGAAATCCTGCGCACTTTCGAGAAAAAAATTCTTTACCGAAAATCTAATGTGAGGCCAGAAATGCTTTCATGCGAATATTCAAAATGTCATAACTCCTGAACGAATTGGATGATTTTAATTTTTCAGAATGCAAACAACGCGTATTTTAGTGTAGAATATGTGGAAATTCTAACAATAGTGAAAAAGTTATTTCTTGACACCATAAAGTGAGAAAACCCCCATTAAAATGATTCAATTTTCAAACAACCATAATTCCTACAATAGTGAATGTATTTCAATGAAACTTTTTTTTGAAGTAGAGCTCATGGGTACTTACAAACAGGTATTAGACAACTTTCTTGTAGGGCGTCAAACAAAATTATTATATATTAAAAACGAATTTGTAAGAAAAATTGACAGGGAGTAGGTGCCTAAACTTTTCGGCGAAAAAAAATTCTTTCAAATCGTTCTGGAAAAATTGTTTTCGGTTGCGGGGGTCAATTACAATCATTTTTGGTGAATAAACCTAGCCCCGAAATCCTACCCACTTCCTAGAAAAAAATTCGGTACGGACGGAACTTTAAACGTTAATAACTTTTTAACGTAGCCTCCATTAACAAATTAGTATTCTTGATTTTCGTCTTATTTTGGCCTCTAAAACCTTTCATTAAAATTTTTTACCAGGGGTGTCCTAACACACAGTATCTCATTATAGAATCTTCTAGATGGACCAATGTTTTAATGTTTAAGGATTTGAGGCGTCAAACAATAGAAACGACAAAAACCTTAAAAGGTCAACGTTAATGTTACAATGTAAGATATTGTAAATAATTGTATTGTAGATATTGTCTACATCTTCAGATAAAACGTGTGATTTTATTTTCCAATTGGAACGAAGCTTAGAAAAAAAGCTTTGTACCAAATTATTTGTTTATTTTTCAACGAAGAATCTAATATGTAATTTTGAAAAGCAGTTTCATTTAGATATTTATGATTTTGTGTTCGTAGCACTATATCTCATTATAGAATCTTCTAGATAGACCAATGTTTTAAAGTTTAAGAATCTGGGGAAACTATCGAAACAAAAATATGTCTTAAATATCAATGTTGGAAAATTGGATTTTGGTCAAGAGAAAAACGTTTCAAAGATTGTTGTGAAACCAAAAGGAAAGGGTCAGAAGGGGTGATTGGTAACCCTTTTTCGTTCGTTAAATTGGCAAGATCGGTGGAAAAATGTCTGTTCCTTGAAGCGTGGGCGGACAGCGGCACGTGCCGCACAATAGAGCTCGTTAGTCGTTTCGCATGATTTTCTTGTTTCTCTCTTTCATCAAACGGAGATCCACCTTTCTGCCGTAAATAAGGATTCCTTCATTTCATGAATCACCAGATGCCCGATAATTAGCGATCATTAATTACACGAACGGACGTACACCGCGGCCCGATATCCTGGATAAACGTTAAATGAGACCGGAAGATCTCTGGCCTCGATATATTGGGTGATTATATGCATTCTTACGGATTTCTTTTTCTGAAAGTAGCGTACTGGTTGTTTCTTAACGACCAAAGAACCAACTATAATTTCTACCAATTAGTAAGAAAACGTATACAGTATTTAAGACTTGTAGTGTAGTAAAGACTTCTCCTAAATATGCTTTTTGTTTGGTTCAAGTTCTTTTAAAGTTCTTTTACGTTTCTGTGTTTCCAACGATATAATACATTTAATTTATTAATAGGTCATTTCATAAGTCTTTTACGACCGAGCGTACGAATTCCTGCGCATCGTTTAATTTTATTAATTGCTTTGACGAAATTGAACTATCGAATCTCTGAAAAATTGTACAAATTTATTTCACGTTAAGTTACACCGTTTAATTATTGTAATAATAAATACTACGTTAAATACGTTTTGTATTTTTTTTTTTTTATTAATGTGTTTCGAAACATTTATAATCCGAGATTAACAGTTTAATCGAATAAAGTATAATAAAGTTATAATAAATAATAGTATAATAAAGGAATTAAAGGACTTTATATATCCGTTTTCCTGATCTATTTTACAATAATAAAATGTCTTATTTAGGTTCTACATAAAAGAAATTGAATTGCTTCCGTTAAATAGTAATATGATTTAACTTTCGTTTTTTGCCCTCACCCTCCTGTAACGTAAAAATGAACGAGCGCTCGTCTCTCTTTTTCTCCTAATAAAGATGTCGTCAGGATTCGATTCGGTGTCAGCGAAACGTACGCACGATCGTCCCGTGTAATCGATTTAGAGTGAAAAGAAAAACGTGACAGAGTAGTGCAATCGTAAAATTTCCGAGGAAAAGACAAAATGGGTTTTTACAAACCAACGAAGCGAACCGTGGAAGAACGAAAAGCGCGGAGAATTCGAGAGACAGATTTGACCGAGTACAGGCCCCGACATTGGGCGTGACCAAAAACGGTCGAATTTTCGAATTAGTATCCAATATCCATTTCAGGTAAAATTCGCGCCGGTTCAAGGAACACAACATTGATCTTCATACATTTTCTAATTTACCGTTGCTTGTAACCCTTTGTAAGGATGTTTATGCATCGTATATATGTCTTAATGCTAAATGTACACTATTGACAACTGTTCATTACTTTACCTATTTTTTACTACAATATTAAATCGCCCATAAGTTCGTGCTGTTCGATATTTTGAAATTAACCAGGTTAAAA